CTCTCTCTCTCTTTCTATCTCTCTCTCTCTCTCTCTGTTTCTCTCTCTCTCTCTCGATCTCTCTCTCTCGCTCACACTCTCTCTCTCTTTCACGCGTACAACATAGTATAATAGTTAGTTTTGGATGAAAATCGGATTTGACCATGCACACGTGCCGCGGGCCCGCACCTCTCCAGTTTGAGCGTATGAGATCGGCTGATGAGAATTATCTTGGCTATCAACGGCGACCGACGTCACGAGCGCCATTCCTATGTACATTAGTATAAGTGGAGAATCGTGGCGGGATGCTGCGAGCAAAGTGAATTTTGTTGATCGTATTTTACCATGCACACGTGCCGCGGGTCCGCCCCTGTCCAGTTTGAGCCTATGCCCACATTAATGTACACTGGCGCTCGTGCGTCGGTCACCGTTAACTGCCAAGAGAATTTTCTCCGGCCGTTCTTATACGTTCAAACAGGACGATGGCGCTTGTTCGTCGGCCGCCGTTCACTGCGAAGAGAATTGCCGTCGGCCGTTCTTATACGTTCAAATTGGAGCCAGGCGGGCCGACAGCACGTGTGCTTGCTAAAATCCGTTCTATAATATTCACTTTGCACGCAGCATCACGCATGGGTTCTTCGCTATGCTAATTCACGTGAAAAAGACGCTCCGACGTCGCCCGCCGTTGACTGCCAAGAGAATGTTCTTCGGCCGTTCTAATACATTCAAAGTGGAGCCGGGCGGGCCGACAGTACGCGTGATTGGTAAAATCCGATCTATACTATTCACTTTGCTCGCAGCATCACGCTCTGGGTTCGCCGCTATGTCGATATTAATGTACATGAAGGTGGCGCTCGTGCGTCAGTCACTGTTGGACTGCCAAGAGAATTTTCTCTTCTGTTCAAAGTGGAGCCAGGCGGGCCGACAGCACGTGTGCTTGGTAAAATTCGATGTAAAATACTCACTTTCCTCGCAGCATCACGCCCTGTGTTCCCCGCTACTTTGAGCGCATGAGATCGGCCGAAGAAAATTATCCTGGCTGCCAAGGTCGACAAACGACGTGAGCGCCATTGCTATGTACATTAGTATATGTGGGGAATCGTGCATGGTGGGATGCTGCGAGCAAAGTAAATTTTATAGATCGAAATTTGCCATGCACACGTGCCGCGGGCCCACCTCTGTCCAATTTAAGCGTAAATTGACCAATTTAAGAGATCGGTCAAGAAGAATTATCCTGGTTGTCAACGGCGACCGACGTCACGAGAGGGGGGGGGGTAAGGGGGGGTACTGTTCACAGTTCACAGTGAAAATAAACTGCTTTTCACATTTCACAGTGAAAATAATGCTCTTTTCATAGATCACGGGGAT